TGCGACATGTGATGAAATTGCAGCTGCAGAACTGTCAGAAACTGAATCTTGGATGTCGACTGAACTAAACTGCAAAGGCTCCGACGGACTTGGGGCTACAGAAGGTGAATACTCACAATCAAGTTCATGAACAGAAAGTGACTCAAATAAGTCTGCACCGTTCTCCAACGACTGCGGCTCAGACAGGTCACCGACTGCAGGATTGGCATCTGCCGGCTGTGAGTCACCGTCAGCCCTCTCACCAGTCCATCGCTTCCGGAACCCACGCAGGCTGGTTGGAACATCCGTTGAGGTACCCAAGAAAGTGTTTGACCACAGTTGAAAAAAAACTGCAAAAGTCTGATCAAACCCAAAGAAAACTGTAATAGTCTAGGTACCCCCAAACTGCTAAACATAAATTGTGTTCTGCAATTTCATTTTTGTCGCCCGCCACTACCCAACCCTTAGCTGAGAAAATGGCAACAGTGAGACATAAAATCATTAAATGTTCTTTCAAGAAACAGTTTGGAGTGTAAAACGTGTTTCTGAAGTTTCCGGTGTTGGTGGTATTTAAGAGGTTTACCACAAGGTGAAGTTTAGATGTTTAAACTTCCAAGTTACCGGGGTGAAACAGTTCGCGGTGGAACTACGCTTCATTACATTGCGCTGAGTTATAAAGACAGGGCCGTCATTTCATGAACGCCTTCCTCATGTATCGGATTCTTGGATCTGGAAAAAAGGTCATCCAGTAGCTTGGGAGGCACACTCTCCCCAAAGAAACGCAAGCATTCTCCAGAGGGGCTATAGATTACCCCGCCAATGGAGCCAGTCTTGTCTACCTGGTCACAAGCTCCGTCTGTGAAGATGAACCAAGTGGAATGTAGCCCTCTCAATCTTGAGAGGAGGTCCATTGAGAACGCGCTGTTTCAAGAACTGCAAGGCCCTCCTGCTGGAGTCGTCAAGTGTCTTGGCAGCACGTGGACCCGTGCACAGACGTCCCATCGCCTTGACTGCAGCGTTGGCAACTCTCCCAAAAGTCTACCCTTCAAAAAATACCATGCGTCCTCTCAACCTCTCTGCATCTTTGGCACTCATGGCGTTGGCACGCAAGAAGGTATCAAATTGATTGTGAAGCTCTTCACGCCTGTTCTGTGTGTGGCCTACCAAAACATGACCATCTGCAAACTCCTTCGAGTCAATCTCCAGGCCCAGCGTCTTGAACTGGTCAGAAAAGGGTAGGCATTTATGCCCTTCAGTGGCATACTGCATGCCGAGTAGAGTCAGCAAGGATTCGCATGCCCAACTGCTGCTGCTTTCAAGTTCAGACCTGGGCAACAGTGTGTAGTCATCATAGAAAGCGCTCCATAGCAAGCCTAGCTCAACATATCCAAGGTACCAGATGGCCTGGCTGATCCTCAGGAAGCCAGCCACTGACCCCACTGCTCCAAAAGGAAGAGAGTTGAACCCAATCATCGCGTAGTCTGCAGAACCCGGGATGTTGACGCCCATGCGCAAGGAAGCACGGTCCACAGGGTGTACTGCAAATTGTTTGTATGCCGAACGCAAGTCGTACGTCCGGCCTTTGAGATTGGGCCTTCTACCTGTAGGGCATGATTTCAAAGCAAATCCCAACATAGCAGCCAAGAAGTCAACCGAGTGGAGCCGAAACTTTTCATGCAGCCCCACCGTCAAGTTGAGCCCACAGCAAGTGCAGTCGTCAATGACTCTGCTTTTGGACCCCTGCTTGATGCCAAAGCGGCGCCCCAAAAACTTGCTGTCAGTAGACCCCTCCTTGTCAAGAAAGATCCAGCCCTTCGCAAGCTCTGCTTCAGTCTCTTTCCAAGTGGCCTCTTCAAGCTCCTGCTCCTGCCGCCTACTGAATGATTCGATCCTGTTTGCATTGAACGTCCGCCCCAACTTCCGTAGAGTTTCCACTGACATGGTGGGTCGCTTGGACCTGGCTCTGAAAACATTGGACCTGGTCATGTATCCACTCAAACGAAAACCAGCAGCAATATCGTCAATAAGTTTGTCGTCTGGGTAGTCGAGATCTTTGAGCATCTCTGCAAATAAAAAGAGTTATTTCCTATGCCAAACCAACCGCAACAGACAACCAAGGAGAGGGGAACCCACAGCGTGACTGGAATCTATTCTGACATGCGCAGACATATATTCTGACCGCACGTCGTCGCAAATTAAAAACATCGTCACATAAAAAAAACACACGACTGAATCTGCACTGCATGAAATTGAAAAATTTGAAACGCATCGTACAAATGCCTCGTGTGGGTTCACTGTCAAAAAAAGAATCAGCCGCTCATTCTTTTCCAAAGCACAGGGGTGGTCTCACATGTCAATCTGCCAAGCCAACAGGCCAAGTCGGATGCTGCACCCGCACTCACGGCTGTGGGTGAGGCAGGAGAGAAAATTCTGTTTGCCATTGTGATCATTGCCAGGAGCGGGCAATGAATTTTGTACTCCAGAAATTGTCATGCAGGAATTGACATTGAGAGGAGTAGTACACGTCGTCAGTGGCCTGTGTCAGTTACTGTGGTCATTTGCAGTTCGACGAACTGCATGGATTATGAAAACCGGTTCAGGCCCCTCAAAAGAGGGCGTTGGTGGGAGGGACAAACTTTTGAGGGGTCTGCTAAGAAGTTACCCACCACCCACCACTTGAACCAAGAATTGCATGGAAAGACAGAATCCAAATTGACTGGTGTGAAACGCATCGTTTAAATTTGGTTTCAAGGCGTGTTTCAAAGTCAAGTGAAACAACCCACGTGAAAAAACTTAAGGTTGATATTCCGAGATGTTTGTTGTTGGTTTAATTTGACTGTTTTAAACAAGGCAAATTTTTGGCAGTCGAAAATAAGGTTATTATCCTTTCAGGAGCAACAACTTATTTCCTATGCCAAACCAACCGCAACAAACAACCAAGGAGAGGGGAACCCACAGCGTGACTGGAATCTATTCTGACATGCGCAGACATATATTCTGACCGCACGTCGTCGCAAATTAAAAACATCGTCACATAAAAAAAAAACACACGACTGAATCTGCACTGCATGAAATTGAAAAATTTGAAACGCATCGTACAAATGCCTCGTGTGGGTTCACTGTCAAAAAAAGAATCAGCCGCTCATTCTTTTCCAAAGCACAGGGGTGGTCTCACATGTCAATCTGCCAAGCCAACAGGCCAAGTCGGATGCTGCACCCGCACTCACCCCCGTCCAGCTAGTGCAGCGTTTTCTCATTTGACATGACCACCACATCCTATGCAACTGAGATTCGGAGTGACTCAGCGATTCAAGAGGTCTTCAACCTGCTTGAGGCATTGAGCGTCTGTTAGAGTTAAGTGAAACCTCACCTTCCCGGATCACGCAAGCCACCTGAAGCCTCATTCGAGGCGGGCGAACGTTCTCATCACCACATTTCAAAGTCGGGTGCACGGCCTGCTCTGAAAAACAAAGGTCGACTCGCTTCCAGCCCACATACGAAGCCAAGCAAGCGCAGGTCCAACACCATCCCCCTCGGAGAAGAAGAATCCTCGCGACTGCATGTGATGTATGCCCAGAAATTTCAGACCACCGCTAAACACATCGTTCAGTGTCAGCTGCGAAATTTTGTCAATCCAACTGTGTGAGTTCAGAAAGGAAGGCACTGCACCAGATCTCGAGCCCCACCGCCAGAGGACGTAATTTTCCAAATTCGTATGCAAGAGGCTCTCTGCGCTTCCAGTAGCTACAAGAAGAAAGGCGTTGAGTTCACCCCAACTTGGCTGTATTGTTCGGGGGTCCCAGCTTTCTATATTCAAATGGTCTCGATGATCTTGGTGTATGGGGGATTGTTTGTGACCTGACATAAAAAAAACCATACTTTGCACGCAAATCCCCAAGACTAGACCGAGTTGTCTGTAAACCAGCGCTTGTGTCAGGGCAGCGGCAATGTAGTCTGCACCTTGTAGAACGTCCAAATCCAACCCTACAGAGACACATTCATATACTTGTCTGGTTTCAGTGTGTGGCGGAAATTTTTGGTGGCCACCAGTCACCGCCTTTATCATGGAGTTCCAAGGTTCACGTAGGGCACCAAAGGTTATGAGTTCCGGCTTAATTACATCTGTGAGATCCTTTGTGCCACCAAGAACTGTTGTCTTTACTGTTATCGAGGAGGAAACACGCAACTCACCCCATGTAAAAGGTTTCCGATGAGTTTGCTGTGCTCCATGTAGTCGTTTCCTGGCAGTTGTGTCAGCGTTCAAGTGAGGAAGAACGGCTAAACAAGGGCAGGCCAAGGATTCACTGACTAACAGACAGAAAATTTGTTCCCAGTGAAGAATTTTCATAGGTGTTGAGCCAGCATCTATATTGAAATTTGCTTTGAATGGTTCTTGGGAGGCCTCCGTCGAAAGAATTGCAACGTCAGTTTCCATCGTTGCGTCCAAAATGGGAATGGTACCTTTAGTCCATCCCACTGTTTTGTAGCTCGCCACACTTTTGAGATTAGCTCTCCTAATCTCAATGGAGCACTTTGAAAGGTTTGCCAATTTCTCAAGCTCCAGCGTGTTTTCAAACAGCTGTGCTTTTGCAATTCGGCTCTCAGGTGAAAACTTTGGAGTGAAACATTGTAGAACGCCGTCAGAGTGTTGTTCACCTGAATGCCTGTTCTGTGTTGAATTCTGTTCTGTAAGCACTGCTCTGTCGTTGTCGGTAGTCTTTAGTCAGTGTCCATCCTTCTTTCCAGGAGCAGCCTTGCAATTTTGAAAAGAATGACCAACTCGTCTGCAAAAAGCGCACATGTGAACGCCCTTAGTACATCGCGGCGGCTGCCCTGTTGTACTCAAACTGCAACCGTTGCTCAAATTGTAAGCCCAGCAAATGGGCTTTCCGTCTGAGGTCTGATGATAACATGACTTTAACTTTTCTGGTGGCGTTGGAGTTGGTCTATTACCTTTGCCCGGGCGCGCTTTCTTCTTTGGCCTGACCCCGGTGTTGCTCGGCGCACCATCTGATGCACGTTCAGTCGACGTGATTGTTGAAGACGCTGCAGGTGCTCTGTTTGGCAGGGACAGCATGTGCATCGTGACCCTTGGATCACACATGAGTTTTTCAACCGCAGCATCCAAGGGTCTGTCTCCGTTTGCGTTTGGTTTCACTGATTCAACGTCTCTTGCGAGGATTGTCCACAGCGCCTTGTCGGCGGCAATCAACTGGGCCAGCGTCACCCTACTGAAATTTGTAGGTGGGTCAGAAGCATAAACTGCAAACATCGTTGATAACCATTTCTGGGAAATTTGCCATGACAACAATTCGCACATTTCCAGGGCAACACTCCTCCTTTGCCAACACCATTGCAGTTTTATCTCGGAGCTGTGGTCAGCATCTCCTATCTTCGAACCTTCTGTACTGACCCTCAAAGTTTGTGATTCAATCTTCAATACTTGTTGATTGTCTTTTGGCGCGGCTTGAATCTCAAGTTCACGCTTTGTGCAGGCCGATGGAGCCAGCCACATGACAGAGTTCGTGTCATACATAATCTGGCACTTGTCAACCAATGCATGAGATGGTTCTGTTTCTCCTTGTATCAGAAACCCCGATATGGTGGCTTTGACTTTTGCATACCTTGCCTGCTTCTCTGCGAAAGGGAGTTTCCTGATGCCCTCACTGGTCTCACTGGTAACTGCGGTTTTCAAATGTGACAAAACCAATGTGGCAGCTTCGAAATGTAATCGCCTAAGTAGGCCAATCTGTCCAGCTGATGCCCCGCCTCCTAACACTGAATCAGACAGCGCCTTGAACTCTTCATCGCTTGGTGGACGATTAGGAGTGCCACACGAAAATGCAAGCTCCGAAAAGGAATTGATGTTCTGAGCAGCCAGCAATTCGAAAAACGAGATCGATGCAGTGGATAATTCACCACACCTCTGTCGAAAAGCAGCCTTCGAGTTAATGAGAGTCATGGCCTATCTGTTCTAAAGAGAGACAATGAAAAGTGATCAACAAGTTGGGTGAAAATTTTCGTGAACACCAGCTTGCAAGTGAAACTCTCAAACAAGCATGCACAAAAAAACTATTTGAATTTAGTTTGACGTTTTGTTTGCCTAAGTTTCACGGAGGAGAAGCTCATGTTTCCAGACGTGATGGCTGCACCACTCACACCTATGAGCCACAAGTCTTTCATACGACATGCCTGGATGTCAAAGTCGCTCAACCCAACTGACGCTGGCTGACCCACACGTCAAAGGATTGCAAATGTCATTCAGTTTCCAAAAATTGTTGAAATGTTTTCACGTTCATGCACAACCACCCCAAACCATTGAGTGGATTGACCACCTCAAGTTGTGTGTTGTCTTGCATGAACTCTTGTTTTCCACCCAGCGTCATCGCCGTTGGATTTGCACTCTGCAACCCCTGTCACATTCTGTGCCTTTTGCACACATGACAAGTTGCTGAGTCGTATCTGAGTTGAGCTGGTGTCACATAGTTGGAGTCCAAGAGCCGTCCACAACACGTCCCACTAGGGTACTTATAGTCAACCAAGTGTAACGTCTTTGTGCGTTTGTTTTGAACAAACCTAAAGCCTTCTGGAGCTGAAGGCGGGTGAAAAACTTTGACTGGGGCTTCAAGTTCCACGCTCTCCGCCTCGCTTTCGGAGGAAGAGCTGGTGATGTGTCCCTCCTCCAGTGGCTCGTCTGGGGAGAGCACTACGTTCTCAGCTTCGTCAAGTTTCTTGTTGACTTCAGTAGTGATGTCATCTCTGACCGATGCATCTTCTGAGAAACGTTCAGCACCCAAGTCTTCTGAATCATCTGGCAAAAATTCTTTGTGAAAACGTCCCGCTCTGTTTGCATCCGGGTCGAAAAAGCCAGTCTTAATTTCCACCAGCAGCCTGTCTATCAGCCTGATGCATCGGGCTTGAGCCTCTCGAGCATAGACGTCTGCCATTCGAAAAGGGTGAATATGATGTCCCATAGCCAGCCTATCCTCATGCCGAAGTCCCCTCTTTGCAGCCATTGACAAAAGGGTCGCTTTGAGGGAATGAGATGAAATCTGTCTCTTGCTGTCCTTTCTGTTAATCTCTTCACCCAAAATCAAACGCAACCACTTGCTTGCCTCGTCGCTCTCCAAAGAGCGTTGCAAAGATTGTCCATCATCACCGGGCGCAGGCATCAAGGAAAGTCCATCTAACTCACTGAGCGGATCTCGTCCTATGTGTCCAAGTGCGTCCAAGCAATGTCCAATCCAATTGTGCCCAGCAATTCCAATACCAGATGCTACAAGATCCAAAAACTTGAATCGATTTGCTGAAGCCCTCATAGTCTTATGAACTTGCACCTCCATGTCAGCGTAGACAATAGTCCCATCTGTCTGGGTATCCAGCCGCAGGTGGTTCCCGTGGATGAAATCACTCCAACGGGCTCTAGCGTAGATGCAGAACAAGGCAGCACCACTGAAGACTTTGTCCCATACATTCCCATGTTCCAAAACCCAGTGCAACCGTTTGACATCAGAGACAGTCAATGGTTCAGCTTGTTTAACCTTGCCTGGCAAATCGTCCACCACTGCCCCCAAGCACCTCTTGCTAACCGTCAGGTCGTGCAGTTCCGGCAAATGAAAGGAGTACCTGCAAAAGGTTACTGCCTCAAGGAGTGACTTCAGTCGACTGGTAGAGTGTCCAGCACTTTTCAGTGTCTTCAAAAACCTGTAAAAATCTGGTTCAGACAACGGCCAAAAATACCCCAGCTGATTCAACATGTTCTGCATGAAAATAAGGCTGTTTGCACGTTTTACCAGCGTCGCCGGTGCTTTGCCAGTTAAGTAGTCTCCAAGCAATTCAAGTCCTTCTGAGGATGTGGCACAAGCAAGAAGTTCACTTTTACAGGACCAGCTGTCAGGCCAGTTGCAAATGATGGCATACCACTTCTTCAAAGCTCGTTGCAATTCAGCCTCTCTCTTTTCTGTCCACGTCACGTCATGTCTACGAGAAACTGCAGCTTGAAAGAACGGCTTTCCTAAATGTGTTTGAGGTTTCCCATCCCTGGCAACAACTGCAACAACTTCTTCATCTACAGGGTTGAGTTTCACAGCTTTCAACTTGGGTTCAAACGAAGGGAGCAGCGTGTCCATGATGTCACTGTCCGGATTGAAAATGCATGCCCATTCGTCCGTCTCCCAAGGCAAAACAAAAGAACTTGCAGCTGTGTCACGCATTGCATGTGTGAGCAAGTTCGAAAAATTGACTTTTGAAGATTGAAACTCATCATGTTGAACCGTACCTGATGGCAAATCTACAAGTGAACCTGATGGCAGATCTACAGCTTCCGACGGTGAAGGCACGACATCTTGAGGGCGCCCCGGAGCATCATGTCCATTATAGTCCAGCTCCCAGAGATCTGTTTGAAAACTGCCAAACTCCAAACTGTCGAAATGTTGAACCAAATCACCTGAAGCCACATCAGTCTCACCAAGTTCCATTGGCAGCACCCCCCAGCACAAACTTTTGAGGGGTCTGCTAAGAAGTTACCCACCACCCACCACTTGAACCAAGAATTGCATGGAAAGACAGAATCCAAATTGACTGGTGTGAAACGCATCGTTTAAATTTGGTTTCAAGGCGTGTTTCAAAGTCAAGTGAAACAACCCACGTGAAAAAACTTAAGGTTGATATTCCGAGATGTTTGTTGTTGGTTTAATTTGCCTGTTTTAAACAAGGCAAATTTTTGGCAGTCGAAAATAAGGTTATTATCCTTTCAGGAGCAACAACCCTCTTTTGCCCAAGCACCTGACGCACATGGTCAGGCATGGAGTTCCTCAATTCCTCCTCCTGAGCCACCGTCTCTTTTGCCCTGGCCGTCCATTTCTTTAAATATTCAACACGCTTCTTGGCAAGCACAAACGGGGGGTCAATCAAATTGAGCTTCACCACCTTTTGCATGGTTTCATCAACATGCACATCTAGACTGCGAGGGTGTCCAGCTGCGATGGCCCTGGTCACAAAATCTCTTGGCTCACTCGGAATACCAATCCAGCACAATTCGACCATTTCCTCTGGAGCCAACTCAGAAGCGCCAGAAAGAAATTGGCGTTCCTCTCTCACGACCCGCAATTCACCCCTTTTCCACAATTGTCGTGAGGTGATTCTAGCACCTTTGGGCAGTGACGAGAGAAAAGCCTCAACTGCACCTGTGTGTTGTGCAGGTGCCACAACTGACATGTAGCTGCCAAATTCTGCAACTCACTTTTGTACCTCTAGGCAACGCGCCAAGTGCGATTCGTCCTGCCGCATCAGCATCTGGTTGCTGCAGCTGCTCGCCAAGAGTAGTGGATAAAAGAGCACCAAACGAAACAGCTTTTTGTTTTACACATTCCACTATGCGCTGGCACAACACCGGCGGGTAAGCCGCCTCTTCAGACGTTGGAAAATGAACCTCGCGGTTGGAAATGGTGACATTCCAAGACTTGTGGCTGTGCGATTTGTCACACCGAGATTCCAAACTGTCAATCCAGTCGCGGTTGACCCATACAGAGGTAAGCTTGTCACGAGGGCCACCGTGACAGCAGTTGTGAAATGTAACAAACTTGTCACCAAAGTTGTCGACAAGGTTTCTCATGGGCGTTGTGCCCCAGTAGTGGCTGTTCCCTGGGTTCTCAATGCCAGTAAAAATGTGTGCTCGACATGCGGTCTGTGCAATTTTTTCCACTGCGGTGTAAAGCAAATTGGCTTTCTCCAGTCAATCTGGTCTGGTTGCTCTTGAGAGCGCAAGGGAATTGGAACTTCGATGCCCAGCTTTGCAAGCTGCGGTAGTTTCCGCTCTCTCGCCTTACTTGCCGTCCCACATGACGGTGCAATCCAAACTGCAGCGATGTTGTCCGCTTCGGACTCCAGGAAATTGCAAAGCTCGTCCACTTGGAGCGGGTCCTCAAGCTCAAAAATGCAAATGTCGACGCCATAAGACCTTTGTGTCGTGTGGTCAATTGCAATTCCATTGAAACCAAAATCTCTTGCAGTGCGTGTCAGCCTCGCGCTCCCTGCACAAACTTCCACAAAGATCAGGTCGCTCAGCAGTTTGCCGCTGAACTTGGTGTGCTGCGCACTTTCAAATTCATCCAACCGCTTACCCTTGAGGTTGTCGGTTGTCGGATCGTGTGAAACTTTGGGAGGAAGTTGACCAATGTGTTGAACATTCATGTTCTTCCCTCCGCCTTTTTTGTGAGATGGCTCGTCGGTTTTCGACTGGAGTTCTTGTGAAACTGAACGTTTCTTCCCACCTGGCCTCAAAACATGGCCAGTGGGACTGCTTTGTCAAGCCCCATCGGCTTTTGCAAGCCCACGGCACACCACCACCGAGTGCCCAGGCTTGTGGCAGTTTGCACAAACATGGAAGCCCTTTGCACACCTGGACGGTTTGCCTGATGTCGAATTTTTGCAACCTGACTTCAAATTGTAAGCCCAGCATACAGGCCCATGCTCACAGCGCAGCTGAAACTTTTTCAACTCCTCAGGGCATCCCTTTTCAGCTCTGGTTTTGCGACGTTTGTTGCCGCCTGCACTCTTTGCCGCTGGTTGAGATGGCCCTGCAGTTGGTGCCTTCTTGGGGATCTCCTTGTCGGCCACCTTCGATGATGCCAAAGATGGCAAGAGAAACATTGTGATGCGTGGATCTTGGCACAGCTTGGGAAAGGCTGCATCCAGCGGTATTGCCCCAGCAGCATCGGGCTTGAGACTACCCTTGATGTCCTGTGCCAACAACGTCCACAGCTCCCTATCAGCTCTGATGAGCTGGTCAACTTTCACCTGCTGGAAACCAGGTGGTGGCTGCTGGCTCATTGTCCTGAAGAGCTGGTGCACCCAGGCGTCGTGGATGTGCCATGAAAGCAGCCTGCATTGATCCATGGCCAAGCCTCCGCGCTGCCAGCACCATTGCAACTTGATCTCACTCCCGTGGTCGGCCTTGAACTCGTCCAAGGTCTGTGCAACTTTCAGTTGATGGTTCTCGACTTGCACTGCCGAGGGTCTTTCCCTGATTGCCAGCTGTACTTCATCTGACCGCTTGGTGCACCTGCTTGGTGCAATCCACACCAAAGAGCCTGTCTCTAATATGTTGTTCGCCAAGTCCACAAGTTGATGACTTGGTTCCAGCTGCCCACTGATGTTAATTCCAGCCAAGCGTTGTTCCTGCTGCTCAAGTCTGAACCTCTTTTCAGCTATGGGAATCTTCTTGACACTGTCTGCCTTCTCGGCAGCTTCTCCATCAACTCTTTGTTTGACCGAGGCGATCATCAGCGTCGTTGCCTCAAAATGAAGTCTACGCAGCATGGATGTTTGCCCCAAGGTGAATCCAGCTCCAAACACTGCCACGGCAAGGTTGTCAAACTGTTGGTCAGTTGGTGGCGTCTGTGGCGTTCCAAGAGAAAACGCCATTGCACTGAATGTTCCAATGTTCTGAGCCGCCAATGCATTGCTAAAATTCCCTGTTGCGTCAATTTCATTGCACCGCTGCAGAAAGGCAGCATTGCTTTCCACCAGAGCCATGATCTACACGCGCGCGCTCTATCAAACTGTGAAAACAAGTCCTCGTGAATCATGAGTGAATGAAATCGTTTCGAAAAGTTTTCGACCACCTACGCAACTTCTCCTGTCTGGTACTAAACTGAAATTTGACGAAGCCCAACGGATGCATTCTGCCGTTTGGGTTCCAATGAAACAATAGGAATATCCATGTCTCGGCTGTTTGGCTGTGAAGTGATGTTGCAAACACATCTCCTTCTACTCGCCCTTAAAACAAAAGTATGCCTGACATGTGTTCACGAGTGTTCAGCTCAAGCACTGACCTTGTCACGCTGGTGAGCCTCTCCACTGCTCTGGTCCGATGCGTTGATGTCAACCCAATCCATGAAGACATGTTGACATCACAAACATGCACTCAGACATCAAATGATGCAGAATGAAAATCGTCTGACAAATGCTTCATGCTGACAACTGTCGTCCCTCAACCGCGATGTCGCAGTTTTTTACGTCTCAAGCAGTGTCCAAGCTCCAAGCATGTATGGTGGTTCATACAACGCTGACTGCAACCGTGAGTGTCGTATCCCAACAGTTTACTCAGTACAGTGACAGTGTTGATTCGTTCAAAGCAAAAGCTGCACCGCCAATGCAAAAAGAGCAAACAACGAACGCGAAAACCACTGCACTCTCTGACAACGGCTTGGGGTCTCGAACACGGATCGCCAGTCAAAAGTCAAGCTGAAACAAATGTCAAGACTCTCCATTGTATGAAACGCTCTGACATGACAAGCAATGAAATGCAAAACTGAATGATTTTGCGGATTGTGAAAATGCTTCACTTAAAATTCCACAAGTAAATGCTGCACTAACGCAAACTTAAACCTAGTCGAGGTCCAGACATTCCTACCCGGCTAGCGGCCCGTCTCGTTCACGAAGTGGCACGCTGACCAGGCTGCTCGCTAAGCATCACACTGTTATTCAGCAATGCTTGAATGTTCCATTGCAAGTTGAAACTCACACCACATGTATGACTTGGTTGACTTGCCAACACGTGCGTGCATGAAACTCTGAAGGCGCCGGACCACTTATTAGGCCCCCTCGCCCCTGTCTCAGTAACGTCACTGGCATCAGCTCGGGTAAGGAAATGTCCATGCAAAAAATTGTTCAAATCGTTGACAACTGTTTCTGAATCAAAGTCCATGCAAATTGAAAACATGTTGAAACAATGACTGACGTCCAAGACAGCTTCCACTGAGTTTCTGAACCCTGCACAATCTGCCAGGTCCCCTGCCCCTACTCACACGTGACAGCAACTGAAAAGAACAGCTTGCACGAAAACATGGACAGGCATCCGAACGGCTTCACTCTGGTAGGAACGCAGTTCTCAAAGGTTCGAAAGGGACCACAGGAGCAGCAGGACTTCCCCCGTTCATTCCCTTCCCCCCCTGCGCTGTCTTGGCCTTTTGCCCGTCGTGTGTGTCCGCTTTTTTCTTCCTTTTGCCTTTCAGGGTTGACCCGGCTCCGGCCGGGTGTGTGTGTGTGTAACATCTAAATAGATGTAAAACTTCTTCCTTTTTCTTCCTTCTGTCCTTTCCCTTTTTGATAACGCAGGGGGACACAGCATTTCACTGGGACTGTGTCCAACGAAGCTACCAGTGAAATGGGATATCCATCTTGGCCAGCTGGACGTACCTGCATTTTTCCGTTGCAATTTCAGTTCCTGACGGATCTATTCAAAGATCCATTCTTGTCTAGTGTAATACCTATGGTGACTCCAACAAGGTGCCATAGGGCCACTGGAGGCAACCCCTTTGTGGGTGACTGCGGACAGATTTGACTTCCGAATTTACACACTTTAACTTGGTAATTCGTTTAAGTAAAGGGTAACAGTCGGCCTTTTGGTTTTGCGCCATTTTCGCCTCCAGAACCAACCTACGCGGCGAAACGGACCTGACAAAAAACAGAGCACACACCTAAACCCAACAACACATTACGGAAAGGCACAAGGGGAAAATTAGGGACCAAATGGGGGACTAGTTGAAGAAGACAAGCGAAAAAAATAAAAAAAGTAACCTAAAAAAGGACTCAGCTCCACTAAACCTAGAGGTCGTGCGTTGTTCCCTTGCTGGGACGGTAGCCAGGTCAGCCCCAAGGGCATATAACGGCTGTACGAGTTCCAGCGAATTAGATGCACAAAATGTTCAACCTCACCAGAAAACCATCAAAAGAAAAAAGACCACACCTGGAAAGCGTGTGCCTGCCTGAATGGTAGTTCAAGCGACATGTTTGTTTCTCACTTCAAAAGCTTGAGCTGCAGCGAGAAGAAAGAGGTTTCTGGTTGTTCCGAACGGCTTCGCTCTGGTAGGAACGCAGTTCTCAAAGGTTCGAAAGGGACCACAGGAGCAGCAGGACGTCCCGAAAACGGCGCAAAACCGAAAGGCCGACTGTTACCCTTTACTTAAACGAATTACCAAGTTAAAGTGTGTAAATTCGGAAGTCAAATCTGTCCACAGTCACCCACAAAGGGGTTGCCTCCAGTGGCCCTATGGCACCTTGTTGGAGTCACCATAGGTATTACACTAGACAAGAATGGATCTTTGAATAGATCCGTCAGGAACTGAGTCCTGTAACATGCAAACCGCTTGCCATGTCAGTCAAAATTGCAACGGAAAAATGCAGGTACATCCAGCTGGCCAAGATGGATATCCCATTTCACTGGTAGCTTCGTTGGACACAGTCCCAGTGAAATGCTGTGTCCCCCTGCGTTATTAAAAAGGGAGAGGACAGAAGGAAGAAAAAGGAAGAAGTTTTACATCTACTTAGATGTTACACACACACACGCCAACGTTGACTAAAATCGGCTGAATGTCAAATTTTGCCGCATACAGGCCAGCCCGCCATGATTCCAGCAGATGCTTCTAAAGGAAGGCGCAAAATTCAAGCTGAACAGATGCAAGCATGAACTCCCACTCGCACACACACACACACCCCTGCTTTGCCGCTATGCAATTTGTCCGTTCGCCAGTTGCAAACACCCTGGCATAGCCGTTAAAGCGACTGAGCTGATGCCTGACACGCGCACAGATCCCAGAAACAACATTTACCCAAAGCAGGCATGCCATGAACCTAGGATTCCACAAAGCAACTGCTACTACAGACTACTTGAACCTGCCCTTCTGAAGCGGTGACATTGCCAACACGGGCAACACGGGCACTGGCTTGGAAACGTTTTGCAAAATCCAGCTCTCTTTGCCGCCTTTGGGTGGTAAATCGTCAACTGTCTCCACTCAATTGAAATCAATGTTGCTCGGGTCCATGCCAGCTTGCAGCTGCATCTTCGCTTCATCACCAGCATACACTCTGCTGGGGCGTGGCATGACAATGTTGATGCGCCCTGTAAACACAAAGCATCGTGGCTAGTAGGATGCCAGGCAGCCGGTAAAGCGCCGTAAGATCCGGTATCCTGCACAAGAGCCCAGAGTGAAACTTACAAGCTGGGATCTTTGTCTATGATTGCACCTTGTCTGACAGAGAGGACGCCTTGGAAAAAACGACGCCGACACAATCAAACAGCAGGACACTCCTGCGAAACACTTTTGCATGGACAAGCACAAATCTCGAATGCTGCGAAGGCACAACCGGATAGCCGGTCAATTGCGTTGCCAGGGAGCCAGCTAGCCCACACCAGCGCCATTTCTCACCAGCTGCAATATCAAGGAAGCACGTGGGACGCTTCATGAGCATCGAGGCTTCAAAAGCCATTCCCATGGACCTTTTCTATACGTCCATGGACAAGAATTGGCAGTAGTGCTGTGTCAGAGCTAGCTAACAACACTCTTCACTTCATAATCATTTTTGCATTTGGCTGGGCACACAGTGCTAAAAGCCGCGCGACAGCTGCCTGGAAGCAAGCAGTCATGAAACAATCAGCAACGCATTCCATGTTTTTGTTGCCAGACTCGAAGCACCAGCCTCTGCTTTAGAACCGCCGGCCTCGGCCACAGAGCGCGTCAGTCACCATGCCACAAATACACGCTAAGCGCTGCAGTAATACTACAAGCGGCCTGCACGCTTGGCCTTATTTTGGTCACTTCGCTCGCCAATGCCTGCACCACTACACGCCGCACAGCTGGGCTAACAAC